GCCTGTTAAGAACTTTTTCCTAAAATTTCTACTTCCAGAATTATGTCTCACGGTCACAATTAAATACTATAATGTTTTAACTAAGAATCTAAAAGTACAACTGACTAATCTAATTCTCTATGAAGATAAAGTTTTTTGTGTGTGTTTATACATAAAATGTATTTTCTGACTAAAATGTTTTATGATTCAATCTGGAGGGAAAACAGCTTTATGAGTGTATTCATAATTTTCAGTGTAAAAAAAAAAAAGCTTGTATCACATCAGCACATACAGAACTAGATTTCTAATGTTTCATAGGTTAACATTAACTCCTCTTTATTTATCAGCTCAGCAAACACTCCATCCGAGCACTGCCTCATTCTCATCCATAAGCATCCCTGCACCCTCCACCTCCATTAATAACGACCAAATGCAAACAGGATGTATTAAAAAGGCACCACTCCTGATTACCTGCTTCTCCTTACAAGCCACGGCCACTCACCTGCCATAAATCACAGCGCTGCAGCTATCTTCTCCAGCCTCATCTTTGAGCACTTTATTTCCTCACCAGAGAGTAGCATCATGGTTATACAAGCAAGAATCTCTGATGGGATACAGTAGGGCTAATGAGCACCTCCTAGTTGATCACATTAGACCTCTACATGAGGACACTTAATTACCAGTGCTGCACTCCACGCACCTCTGTTGAGAGGACAGGAGAAGTCCCTTAATTAAGGTTTCTGTATTTTACCACTGTTTGCACAAATCTCCATTGCTGGGATGCATGGTTGTATTCACAGCCCTAAACACTGGCGATAAAACGATTGGTATATGTGTGTGGGAACTGGGATTTTTCCCTCTCTTAGCTACTTGTGTTTGTGAATGCGTCCGTGTGTGTATAATACGATGGCTGTTTGAAGTTTGTCTCCCGAGTCTGCATGGTTTACAGTGCGCTCAGTATAAACACACATACACACACACACACACACTGGGGCTTCCTGTGTTGTGTGGCCTTTAACTGTCTTCTCCTTGGCTTTCATGATCTGGCTGGAAGTCAGTGTTTAAAGGAAACCTGCCCAGTCCACAGAAAGATGTTTGTTTTCACTGCCTCTCTCTCCTTCATTGCCGTCTCCTTCTTTAATTTTCTCTCATGCTCCGTCTTGTTCTTTCACTCTCAGTTTCTTGCTCAAATAGGCTGAGGCTTGCAGTCAGGAAATGCACATCAGTCATAATACTTTCCTAAAATGAAAACAGATTCTGCTGCAGTCCTTCAGCCTCTCACTGAAAAACCTCCTCCACCCTTTTTCCCCTCCTTCACTGACACATCAGCTCACCAGCCCCGACTCTTTTCTCCCACTTACAAGGGTCTAGTTTGCTTTCTGTCACAGATGGTTGATCACCAGCACACAAGACAGTTGTTCTGTGGGTTGTGTGATTGCAGGCGATCCTGAGCATCTTACACCAGCCTTGACAGTAATCTGCTGTTACCCCCATAAAGTCCCCACAGTATGGGCACTTATGTTTTCTAGTAAGCTATTGTTTTTCTTTTTTTCTACTGTTGTGGGTTGCAGATCAGTGTGAGGGACAAGGTTAATGCACGCTGGAATGTTGTTTAACAGCCTGTCAGAGCAGAGCGTTTAAGTTTGCCGTACGACCTTTATCCTAGAGTGCAGCCTTCATGACCTACAGGAAAAGGTTAGGATGTTTCCCACCTTATCATTTATTACTCTTATGTGAGATCTAACTACTTATTAGCATATTTTTTCCCCAGCGGGCCATAAAATAGAAGCAAAATGTTTACTGAAGATTAACATCACCCAGATGTTTAACTGTTATACTATTAAATAATTTAACTCTGATCTAAAGCTATGAATTATACATCAAATGGCTCCATGGTAGTAATAATAATAAGCTTCCAAGACTATAATGTTAATATGTTTAGAATTTTTAATTGCAAACTCCTTTATTGTGATTCCTCAAACAATGTGTATAAGAATAACTTGTTTTATAGCTTTTACACCAAAGCATATTATTACTTATATCAGTTCCTCCTGCTGTGAAATGTGAAACTGGATACAATCCAGTTATGTACTCCATGTCTATGTGGAGTTAAATATTATAGTAAAAATAGTACGTTAAAAGATCCCCTCTGCGAAAGCTCTACTCCTTAGAGTCAGAAAAACAAAATAGGGATCACATCTGCAATGTTTCAGTTTTATAAGTGGAAAATAAATTCTACTTTATTAGCAGATTTTGTTATTTATCTAGCATAAAATGGACAAAGTATATCCCACTTGTCAAACAAAATTGAAATGCTTCCTTCTTTCAACCACAAACTTCCAATTTGATGTTGACAGTTGTGTTGTGTAGTCAAAACCTGTAAATGTTTTCCTTACAAACAACAAATGCGCAAAAACTTCTGATCACTGCCGCACTTTAAAAAATGCAAATGTTAATTTCACTGCTGTAAGCTGCTCATTCACTGATGAAAAGCTGTACGCATCACATAAAGTTTGTCTAAGTCTAAAAAAAGTATAGTGATAATAAGATACTAAATTAAGACAGTATCAAGTTTGCTTAAAATACTGTTAGAATGTCTGCATTAATAAAATAATAATAGTTAAAGTTAAAAATTTAAAAACTTGGAAACAAAGTCCAGTGGATTGTTTTTTTTTACTTTTTTTGGAATGTCTATGACCTGGATGACTGAGAATCTTCACCAACATTACTTAACAGTGCTTCTATGCTACTATAATGTGCTGCTGGAAAATACTATCAAGCCATGTTTAAAGTCATGGACTCCATACGTATCTGAAGCAATATACCAGCCCTATAGTCAAAGGTTCAAAAAATGTAAACACCCCTAAGATAAAAAAGCATATCAGTCTTAAATGTTCAGTAGTGATTATCCAGCTTTTCAGGTCTGTGATTTTATCTGACAAAACCTGTGTGTGATGATATTTTCAGACAAAGAAGGTGATAAATGAAATGACTGAGACATAATACACTTTAGAAACCATATAGAAAATAAAATGCAACATTATTAACCTGCTGCTACAAATAGTTGGAAATACTTATGGTTATAGAAAAACTAAATGTATTTTCACAACTGCCAATAAAAGATTTTAAGAAAATTATAATGTAAACTGTTTTATTGTTTAGTAAACTCCTTAATTGTGTTTCATTAGGTCTTATGGAGGCCAAAAAGTGAAATCTTTAAAGTTAAAAACTCATAGATCAGAATCTGAAGCATTGAATGTTCATAAATAATTATTAAGCTCACATTTGATTAACATATTCTGAATGTTGTCGTGTGCTAATGTAATTTAAGCAATATTCTTACTGGGTATTACTGTTTTCATTCTATGATAAAATTAAAATTAAATAAAGGTATGCTAAAGATCATTTCAAAAAATGTTATCCTAATTTAGAGGTTAAATGCAGCTGAAAAACAAAGCCTCCAGGATATTATGACTGGAAAAGGTGTAAAGCTGTTATCATAAACTACTCAGTTGGTCATCTTATAACAATGTGAAAAAGGAAACAGTTTTGCTTCTATTTTCATCCTTAAGGTGAGGATGTAACACTGTTTATAAGCAAAAAAAAATCTTCTTTAAACACTGATGCAGGCTACGCTAATAAACCCTTGCTGTGTCAACATCAAGATGCATGTTCAATTACTGCTACCTTCCATGTTTTACCATCAAACCAGAACACATGGTTTGTGCTTTACTGTTTAGTCCTGTCTTGGACTCCCCTGAAGGAATCCCCGGCAGTTAGTAACCACTGAGGCACTTGCCAGTCATAAATATTCTCAACAAGCCGGCTGATTGATGGTCTCTTTCACCCTCAGTTTGAAAGGGATGTTCATGATGGCCAATAAAGCTGCAGTGAGTGAATGAAAGCATTTTTTTCCACAAAAGGGAATAGCCCCAGATGAGACGGTGACACGGACACAATCACTATATTCTGTTGTGTCAAGCTGGGAAAGTTTAAGATGCATAATACTGCAGGAACATTAGAATCAGTGCAGGGGAATTCATTGAAGATGCCTCTACAGAGATAATGGCATTACTTGAAATCTCTCCTCAAAGTCATTTTTTTTTCTTATTCTAAATATAAAGCTCTGAGCAAGGCTCACAATTCAAAGAAAGTGTCTGCTTCTATTTACCAACATTCCCTCAGATGTATTTAAATATCTCTGGGATCATATTTAGTGCAGCGTAACGGAATCCACTGCTGGTTCACAACCTGCACCACCACCTGAAAAGCCCTCAGGACCCCTATGTTGTTGTGGTTCTCAGCAGCCTGAGATCAGTCTCCTGCATGCCTTTCCACTTGGCTGCTTACTGTGGTAAGACAGTTAACTCACTGATTGCAGGAGGAAAAAAATAAAACTGTGAAAAGCATGCAACTCTTGTCTCCTGCAACCTCAAAACCAGTGAGTTCTGCAAAAAAAAAAGAAAAACGGAAAAGAAAAACATGACACTGCATGTAAGGAGTCCACTTTTTTTCTTCTTTTTCAGTATAACTGAAAGTGTGGCTTCCGTTCTACGCTTGTTTTTGTCAAGATTTTGAACTTTTTTTTTTTTATGAATTCTTTACAGTGCTCCATGTCCCACTGGAGGCAGGGCATCTTACACATATGAATTTACTTATATAGTTATAAGGTATCAAATAGATGCTTTACCTTTTTCAAATGACTTATTTTTAAAAAATATTTCAACAATATGGAAATATGGATAAAGGAAGTCACTGTTTAATATCAGCTTGGAAATACAATGATGCTGCAAATTGCATGAAAAAAACGACTGATTATCTTAATTTGTTTTTGTTTTTTTATAATTTTTTTTTTTTTAGATTGCATGAAAATAAGCAATCTATAAGATTAAAGGGTGAAATGTGAAGGTTTGCATGTGCCAATTGGTTCACCTTTGTGCGTCAGGCGCACACATAAGCGTGCCTCCCACGATCTTATGACCTGTCTATCATAGCCGATTGATGATTTATTGATACTCTACCAGAGAGAAGATGTTGGAGTGGCAGTCCTCAAGGCTTGCCCCGTTAGCCGCCCAATTCGCCGTTGCAGTCATAATCGTCCGCCTTTGGGGTCGCCAGCGCAGGGCATGTCGAAATCCTTACATCGGTTTCCAAACACCGATCAGGGCTGACAAATCGGTTCCCTTGTATGAGTCTTAGAAGAGCTGCGGGTAATAGATACGGGTCGGTCGGTATGAGAGAATGGGCGTATTCAAAACGAAGCGCACAATGCATCCATAAAGCCCTGCGCGTATAAATCCAAGCGTGTGTTGAAAGAGCGAGGACAGAAAGAGAGAGAGGGGGGGAGAGATGAGGAAAAAAGGGGGGGAGAGATCACAACATTGTTACAATCCAGGTCAGGCGATTCCAAAAGCGATCGCTGTCATATAATACATCCATTTCAATCCACGCGCAGGGGGAAATCAGCTTGTCTCCAGATCAGTCTTTCCGCGCGTCGTTTCATCATTAAAATCAACCCGATCCATGAGAAAACCACTCCTTTTCTCCTCCTTTCCTCAGAAACGACCCAAATATGTAGATTTTTCTACCCGTCAAAACTTTAAATAGAAACAGAGAGAGAGAAAAAAGATCAACTCAATAAAAAAAGAGGCGATTGCAACGCAGGATATCTGATTCCGTGTGCTCCTAAAGCTGATGCACCACTTGTGATAGTTTTCGAGAATTGCATGCGCTATTTATAGCTCTTCTTTCTCTTGCCACAGCCGTTCCTCTCACAATGTGAGCCAGTCTGGCGAGCACAAACAGGGCGCTGCGCGTTGGAGTGTTTAATCCCTCTGATGCTCCTGAACCAAACGATCCCGATGGGTTTTTAAAAGAAAAAAAAAGAAAGAAGGAAAAGAATCGAGAAAGAAAGAGATCCACCCCCCCTTCTTTGCTCTGCGTGGCTCCTGGTGGACAAAGTCAAACTGGTTCCCAGCAATAACACCCCAGAATCAAACCATTCAGGCAAGACGAAAGAGAGAGAAAAAAAACTATTCTGACACTCCACCAACCAGGAAAAAGAGAAGCAGGCGACTGCTGTAGACGGAGGTTTGAAAAAATCCTTCCTTCCTTTCAGTTTTATATCATTACGAAACGTCCTTTCAAAACCACAAAAGCCCCAGTCTTTGAGAAAGAAAGGAAAAACAAAAAATGTCAGATAGGTTTGTTGTGCGTAAATGTGCACACTTCAATAGAAAAGTGACCCTCCTCGTCTGGCGCCGATTCTGAAATAAAGATTATGTTGCATGGCTGCAGATCGCTCTCTCTGTCGCGCGCGCGTACACAAAGCGCGCATCCTCCGCGTGTTTGTCGAGAAACGGTGCGACTGTTGATTTAAATCCTCCAACATGTGCATGATTTCCTCAACCGCAGCGGCTCCTTCCTCATTGTTTATCTGTCAGAGCGCGTTATTATACTGCTGGATGGGCGTGCGCGCAGGCTGAATGTGTCGCCCTCTCTCTGTGTCTGCGTGTGGGTTTCTGTGTGGGTTTTTTTTACGCGAGGCGCTGAAGATTTTTTTTCTTTTTTTTCCACGCACCACGGTCCAGTCTACAAGGCATTGTAATATTGTAATGGCGGTCGGAAGCGTACTACAGAGACTCGCCTTCCCATTTGGCCAAGTTTTCGCTCACGTGACTAAAGTCTGGGATAACAATCATGTTTGGTATCTGTTTGTGAAGATTTATACTGGGAATCCTTTCAAGTGCATCCCCCTCCCCCCTTTGTAGAGCCTAATAATGCGTGTTTTCTAAAGGTTTTTTTTCCCTTTTCTCATCACTGCACGGTGTCATCCTGTGGTGCATTAGTTACATAATGCAACTGTTCTGTCAACAAGAGGGTCTGACAAAATAGAGGTCAGCATGACTTACCTAGAACACACTGTTTCATAACACATACAGAAAATAAGTAGGTTAAGTCTCACAAGCTACAAAACTTACGCTGAACAAAAAAAAATAATAAACATATTTTTTCCTGAAGCTCTGAAATATTGAAGATTACAAGCAATAAGTGAAGTTCTAACCAACCTGAAAACCTAATTTATTCATTTAATAACAAAATTAGGTTTCACATTTAGACTTTGTCATGACTCAATTTAACAGGAAGGAAATATTCAACAAGTGAGCAAATTGTCCTCAAATTTAATGTGTTAGAAGCGAGAACTAAAAGGGCAGCAGAAAGGATTTAATCAAGTTTGACAAGAGCTAAATCTTTATGGATATGTGATTCAGTCAGAGTATCTCCAAAACTGCAAATGTTGTGGGAGGCTGAGTACGGAAAGTGATCTAACAGAGGAGGATTGGTGGATGGGTAACATGGTAATGGGTGGCCAGTGTTCAGCAGCTCAGATGAGGTGTAAATTTACATGATGCATTGCAGTTTGTTGTATACAGGGACCTATAGGTTCTGATGGGAACACAGGGAATCGCTGTGGAGATTATTTGATGAAGGCATGCAATGACAGAAGCAGTGTGATGTTTTGTACATTGATTTGCTGGTTCCTGGCATTCAGCTGACTGTTACTCTGACATTTATTACCTACTTTAGTATTTTTACAGACCACGTGCATATTTTCAGTGGAAAGGTATTGCCTAATGCAAAATAATGCATTCTGACAAAATACAGATTCACCTTAATAATGGCTTGAAAAACAAAGCCACTGGTTTGACCTTCAGACAAAGCCTCCTAATTCCTTAGATCTCAGTCCAGTCTGTCATCTGTGGGGTGTTCTGGACAAACAAATCAAATCTGCGGCTGCCCCGCCTACAATTCAATTCAATTTATTTTATTTATATAGCGCCAAATCACAACACATGTCATCTCAAGACACTTTATAGTTCACCAGATCATACAGTCAAATTGATTCAAAGTTTTCTGTCTAAAGGAAAACCAGTTGATTGCGTTGACTCAGATGCGATCCCTCATACTAAGCATGCTTGTAGCGACAGTGGAGAGGAAAAACTCCCTTATAGCAGGAAGAAACCTGCAGCAGAACCAGGCTCAGTGTGAGCGACCATCTGCTGAGGCCGACAACAAGTTTTCTACCATAAGTAGATAACCGTGCTGATTGCGAGGCTTGGAAAAAAAGATGATCAGTATCATCTGATCGGCTATTAAAATAAATAATTTATGCCTTTTCGATCGTGTTTCAGCTCTGAAACAGAATTAGGACCCCCTTCAAAGTCCTACAGATCTTTAACAATTAAAGCCTGATGTGGCTGAGCTGCATTGCAACAGTTCCAGCTTACACTTAGTTTACCTGTCACTAGTTTACTTTTTACCATTGCATGGTTTACCTAGTTTACCTTTACACCAAGTTTACATAGTTGAACCTCAAGATGAAGCTGAGCTGTCTCGTCAGAGAGACCCTTAACTTGTTGACAGACTGAAGATCAGGCTGCTTTTGAGCTGGAGGCGCTCTCTCTGTTGTGCAGTGTGTAACAAGAGCCTGAAGCTGGTGAAGAAACCACTTTGTGGTGTTGATTAGTGGTTTCAGCATAGTCACAGAACTTGGAATCCCGACTTTTGCTTCTTAAAGCATTGAAGCACTGATGAAGGGCTAATAAAGCAGCTGTCTAATTTTATACCTTTATAGCCAATTGATTGATTGTTTTTGTTTTAAAAGAAGTAATTTGATCTAAAAAATTGTACTTTTCCAAATGTTTTTCTAGGTTTTCAAGCAAAGTTTTTCTTAATTTGAGTGATTCCATACTACCTCAACAGTAAGTGAGAGGTTTATTTTCTTTCCTCCACATTAAGTAATTCCATACTTTTTTCGCTCCATATAACACAAGTCCACATTTTTTCCTCACTGTTGCGTAATTCAGTGTTATTTTTGCAACATTTGCTAACTCAATTTTTTTCTTGACTCTAAGGAATTCCACATTTCTCTTCAACATTTAGTAATTCTCTCCTTTTTGTTCTCAACATAAGGCATTTTGTCATATGCATGCAACATTTTGTCTCATTTTCTATGTAAAAGACATATTTGTTTCCAAGCACTGTCATGTAATATGCTTAGCGATGTTCGGCTGTAATAGAGTAGTCCTCTTTTATTTATTTTTTTTCTCCTTCAAATGATTGACTGAACCTCAGCCATGAGGATTCCCTGTGGTTGTATGGTAACAAGATTAGAACACTGGTCAAAAGAATGAGATTGCAGCTACATAACAAGATTTGCTTTTTTCATATAATCCTAAATAAATTGTATTTACATGATGGCTTTATTCTCTTAAACTTTTATGGGAATGTCTTATTGTATCACCACAATACAAACTACAGAAACAGCAAATCAGTATAATGTTCTTTAACTTTGAAAGGCTTATATTTTTTATGTGTTTAGTGTTTTTCATAGCATTTTTTCGCACAAAGTTGAAGAACTAAGAATAACCTGTCTAGCCTTTTTACAATGTGCTGATGTGAAAGGGCCCACTGTGCATGGGTAAAGAAATCAGCACCATCTGTTAGAAAATAAACTATCATGACAGAAATCTGATTTGATTCTCTACACCAGTCCAAATTTCAAGATATTTATTTTAATGGACAGAAATTTAAAATAGCAAAGTGAGCAATCTATTTAAAAAAAAAAAACTTGTGTTCCTCAAGAGCTTGGTGATAAAATGTTAAGTAAAAGATGACATCAGATTATTTCAGAGTTCAATTATTATGAATCTTATATGTATGTGAAACGTTTAAACTAGTAGTGCTAATGTTTTTGTTTCTTTGTTAGAGTTGATAATGAGTTATGTTCATTTATAGCAGCTTCTTACCTGTCAGCTGATCATACTGACACACATTATGCTGTTAGTATGGATTCTGTCCTTCTAAGAAAAAAGGGATTGTACCATGTACAAGCTGCCACATGATGTGGGACCTCGTATTTCTTTGAAATGCGTGGGACGTGGAAGAGTGCTAGTAAGGGAGGGCAAGTAGTGAAAGATATGAATCAGATGGATGAGCAGGGGCTTAGGCTGGCGGTTATTGATCCCTTTGCTTCAGGAATGATCCAGATCTCATTTGGACATTTTTGTCTCCTATTGTTCGATACATCCTCAGCGGCTTTGAAAAGACTCAGGCTCAGCTTGACACACTTGGTATGGAGCTGATGGGATGAGATGCTTATCGGTTTGAATAAATCTATTTCAATATGCTGCGTGTTTCCACTCATCAGGCCCCCGCTGACTTCATCTATGTGAGGAGAGGAGATGCATCTCTGTTCTGATTAAAGATAACACAGTTGTCCTGACGCTTTGTTTAAACAACTTGATGAGATTAGGCATATTCATATCTAGAGAAAGATGTAGAAATGGGTGGAAATGTTGATATAGACTGAAACACTTAGCCCTTTGAACGGCCTATACAGTAGATCTGTTTTTGTTGACAAAAATGGGCAGACGTTCCACCGCCTGTTGAAAACTATATTTCTGCATTTCTTATTCGTGTAATAAGAAAAAAAAGAAACATCCTTTTAAATTAATATCAATTTGTTATTTTATGGCTCCAAACTTTATTGTATTTTCTTGGCTTGTTTTTATTTCACCAATAAAATGTGGAACATACTTGTGATGTGAGGAAATGTCTTTTAACATATTTACAAAAAAAATGAACTGATCAAAATAAGTGGTTTGCACTATATTCAGTAGGGATGCATGACATAATAGTACTACCACCAGTGCAGGCAGATGTTGGACATTTTTAAAGATATTGATATTGATCCGCTGAGTAAAACTGTGCCAGTATCAACAACTGATATTTATTCCCATTTAGTTGCCAGTGTCATGGCTCGGAGCAGGAAACCCAGTATTCAAGCCAACAGACAGTCAGATTTATCAAAAGTGTTCATCTAAAAACAATGGATCTTTAGTAACAGCAAGGACGTCTAAGGCAGGAACCTCTGCAGAAGGAAAACACAGGTTAGTGACCACGTTAGTCTGGGCTCAGATTTAATTATT